TTCTGTCTCTGATGTCTATACAGCAGTGCTTTCACTCAAGGTTATGTGTAACGGTATGGCATTGTTGCCACTGCTATTCCAGAATGCCATTGCAAACTGCAATGCAATGCTTACACACAGCATCAATTTCCAATGCTACCAAGCAAGGGGAAAAGCTGGTAGCCAATGCTATCTCTCACATGTTATAAACCATGGTTCTAACCGAGGGTGGTTTTCTTGAACTTGCTTGTTTAAAGGCAACGGCATCTAGTGTACACCGCAGTGCCTGTCTAAAGTTTAGATGTCCAAATTTGGGCGGACTTTAAGCTGACGAAAAGGATGTGTCTTTTCAACGCGGTGGGCCCAGCAGCGTCCATCCAGAAACCCGCTGGCGTCGTGTGTGTCACGAAACTGGGGGGAAACGTGCCCATTGAAATGTAAACTTACTTCAACTGGGTCTGTAGTGAGATGAAATGATTTATACCTGAGAAGGGAGGGGACAAAAGCCTGCCTCTGGCTTAGGGGTGCCCTCAGGGTAAGCCCGCGCAAAGACTTGGCGTGCAAGAGGAAATGATGGGGTAACATCGAGCAAAGATTAGTTTCATGGGGTGAAGTTGACATCGCAGCCACACTGCGAAATGGAAAGTAGAAGACATAGGTTGGGGGGGGTGCCCCTTTTCGCCCCGGTCCAGGGGGGATTTGGAGGTGAAAAAGGGCGCCCCTCAGGAATCGAGGCGCGCTTGCCGGCGGCGTGTTGCGAATCAGTGAGCAGAGACGGCAGTGGGGGTTCATGTGCGAGGCTATGGGTAGGGTAGGCGAGGATAGATATATTTCTATATGTGTGTAGGTAGAGTGGACAAAGAGTAGCCGGAAGTGGTGAAGTTGATATTGGAGCGATGTGAGTGTGCAAGATGAACTGACAGGCTAATACTATGTAAAGAGTACGTGAATGGGGTGAAGTTGGCGTCGCAGGTACACGATAGGAGGTAGAAATAGACGGTATATTTAAAAGGGGGGCGCCCTTTTATTGTGGGTGCAGAAGTGTTGCGGAAGTGAAAAAGAGCACCCTCAAAGATGTTATGTGAGTTCGTCGGCTGCGTGTTGGCAATGAGTGACCAGAGACGGTCGTGGGCGAGGCTATCGGCAGGCTCTCGTGAGGACATGCATATCCACCTGAGAAAGGAGAGGACGAAAGCCAATGGTAGTGGAGAGCTGGTGCCATGGATCAGCTGGGCGCCAATCCGGACGAGGACCTCGTCGTGCATGGTCCATACTGTCGCGTCGGTAGTCGAAGGACAATATGAGAGGAACTATCGAGATGTCCGTGTAAAAATAAAAGGACCGGATAACCCCACATGATAAGTTTTACAAATTTCAATTGTATATGAACATCACATGGGAGACGGAGTAGTGAGATGAAAAGTCAAGAACGAAGTGTGAGGAGAGAAGGTATATGAGGCGGCTGTGCTAAGACGTGTAGTATAAGTGATGATGTGATGGACGAGGATGAGAAGGAGGGGAGGGAGGAGGTGTGTGTGTGATGAACAAGGATGAGAGGGACGAGAGAGAGAGAGAGAGAGAGAGAGAGAGAGAGAAGGAGGCGGAGAGGGCTGTGGATTTTGCGATCAGATCCGCGTGAGACCTTCACAGATGTTGGCCAGATCCGCATCAGATCCGCAAATGCAATCGGCATTTCACAGATGTTGAAAAGAAACATGTCATGAAAACGTGTAAGTAAGTGAATCAAAACATGTCTGCTGCAACCACGTGAGTTTTTGTGATGACAACCATGGCCAGAGAACTTTCAAAACAAGATTCAGAACGGTCGTGCAGGCTAAACTAGAGAACTGCAAATCACAATGGCAGTAGCACAGAGACAGGCTTCACCAACACCCTCGCCGCAGCATTTACAATGCGAATCGGTGGCATTGATTGCCCTGGCTGTGCAAATCACAATGGCAGTAGCGCACAAACACACTCTGCCAACTTCCGTGCCGCAGCCATTACAATGCGATTCCGAACTAGTGAGAACCCTTGCTGTGGAAATCGCAATGGCAGTCGCGCACAGAGACATGTTGCAAACATCCGCGCCGCAGCCATTACAATGCGATTCCGAACGAGTGAGAACCCTTGCTGCGCAAATCACAATGGCAGTAGCGCGCAATCACAATGGCAGCCCCTTCTGGAGGCTCTGGGTACTGCGCCTGCCACGAGGACAG